CACGCACCCACACATACACAAAAACGTATGGCCAAAATGGATAAGCTTCCCCCCTTGGGTAAATGGGGGAGCGTAGGAGGGCCCCATAGAAAATAGCATTACTTTCAGCCAGCTTCCACAGTCCCTACGGCCTGCTGCCTTCATCGAACATCCTTCCTGGCTTTTCCAAGCGCTTTTGTGTGGTGGCGTACCAGTCACAAAAAAAAAAACCGAAGTTTTCGAGCAGCTCTGGGCTGTGCGGTTGGGCGGGGCAGCGGGCAGTGGGGCAGTGGGGCAGCGAGGCGTATCCGTTGGGTGACTTAAATAAAATTTGTTGATTTTATTGAAAAGTGATGATGTGTCAAATTTTTTATCGCATTACCAGCGCGTAGCTCTTATTTTGCTTTTAACCTTGTCATTTGCATAAAATTCGCATTGAATAGACACATTAGCATTTTTAATGGCCCGCTGCCCGCCGGAACTCATTTCCCGTATCCTTCATCATGAGCCTTCGGTCAGCGCTAGTCACGCCGCACGCCTCCAAATTTATCAATGCTGAACACGTTTGGGGTTGAAGGTTGTCCAAAAAAAAAAAAACAAAAAAATCTACAATTGCTATCATCAGCATGCCGAACATTAAATACCCTAGAACTGCCTTATGCTTCGACTTTGACATATGCTCAGAGCATAGAGCATAGAAGTCTATTCGATTGATTCTTCCTAAAAAACCATTTGAATTTACCAGAAGTTTTATCATATGTATAGTTGAACTTCTCAAATATCTCGAAAATCGAAAAAAACTTTTCATACAAGGATCCATTTGTTGGTTGTTGCGCGACATTAATATATTTAAGTTGTGGTATAGAAAAGGTATCCTTCTATGCGTTAAAAATTGACTATACAATGACTAAGCTCTAATATTCTCTACAAGGGTAAAAAGACCGTAAGAAAACCATGGAAGTGATGCACTCACTGAAGTGACAATTGAGCAATATTTCTAGACCCCTGTGGGGAATAGAGACTGCACTGATTCCAAAGACAAATTGAACAGCTTAATGCATGTCAAATTGTCAATTGCTTTCGGTCTATGCCGAATACTGTTTAGTTTTGGCTAGTTGAATGAATTATGTACATTCATATTATATTTTTATACTCCACTAAAGTGAAAAAAAAACTTTTGACATTTGCTATAATTTCTTAAGACAAAAATATTAAGAATGTGTCAAGTCACGAATGATTGGTTTAAATGTTTATAAAAAACTCTTCTTATTCAGTAAATGGTAAGCTTTAAGCTGGCACCACATTTGATTTTATAAATATAAATTATATATACTTAGTATATTCAACAAAATTTCTAATAATGGTAAGAACTTAGATAATAATGGTTTCAACTTATTAACGTGCCTTCACACGAAATATAAAACTATAAAAAAGCCAAGATATGAATCCGATGATATGGGTCCGAGGATGTTACAATCCAGCTTCGAACCAAATAGACTTTACTAGAATCAAAAATCGAACCAAAAACTATTATTTATAAAATAAAATTCCCAATTCGAAACCTCTTTCGTTCAGACCCAAGCTGGCATATCCATGAAGTATATTCAATACATAAAGGTAATATCTCAGATATGGGTTCTTTCTCAGATATGTTTTCAGAGATTTGCTCAAAATGCGTTGACTTGAATTCGCATTTGTGAATTCTTAGTTTCTTGATGGTTAGTATATAGATATTCTTTTTGAATTGTTACTACAAAAGACTTTCTTAAACACAGACAAAGACTGTTTAAATAGCAACTCCCTTGGCGATTTCACAGAGTAATCCGCAGAGTGAAATTTTATTCGTGATGGCCTAGTTCCGTTTGCTGTGAGCAGATGGAAAGCAATGGCTTTGCATTAGAGCGCATCTCGGCCATAAATAACATGACGTTTCATTAGGCGGCGAAAATGAAAAGCTATGATCACCTGGGCTGGCACCTGACCAAAGAGCGCAGCGGAGCGACGGAAGACAATCGCGCGCAGGACGAAGGACCAACTGGAGGACTGTAATGGTGTGTGCTGCTGCTGCTGTTGGCAGGTGTCGGCGCAGGTGTTTTAATCACACGAACGCGGCGCATTTGTGCCCGGTAGTTGGTACGCATAAATTTTCATTTCCATTTTCATGGCTCAACGCACAAAACGCAGGCAGGACAATGGCGACAAGGACGACTAGGACGACGTTTCGCCATTTGCCTTTGTCGCTTTTTATTGCCTGCACTTCATTTGTTGACGCTATTTCGTTGCCGAGTGCTCATAAACCGGCAACGACTGCGACCGGCTGTGGCTCCAGGCTCAGGTCCAGGCCCCAGTCCCCAGTCCCCAGTCCGGAGTCCCGGCCCGGTCCCTTTTTGGGTTGATGAGCTAACCGCAAAAAGTTAATTAGAATTAATGCGTTGGGCGTTACCAAAAACACAGGTCAAATCGCATTTAACTGCAGCCCAAGCACAACAACTGTGGCCCATTAATATTTCCACACGTTGATGGCTTCCTCTCTAAAGACCCAGCCGACGCGTTGCCATTTTCGCTAAAATGACGCGCAATAATCATTTCAATATATGCCAAGAGTAGAGATCACGTACTCGGGACACTTTAGAACAAATACGTGTATCAAAATGTAACATCACACCGAAAACACCAAACAGCATCCACATGCAACCCACTACACAACGGAGCAGGCCGGGCACAGACCGTGGCCGCAGTCACGAAATGGCAACAGCCGCCACAGCAAATAGACGAAGTAATCAAAAAAGAAAAGCCAACATTTACCCAGTCGAAGCTGGCTGTACAGCAAATATATTGTAGTCCCTTACAGCTTACTCTGATATCCTTTTCAATGTATGGGAATACCCGATTCTTGAAAATATTTGTGATTTTCAATCATTCGCAGTGCAAGTTGCTTATTTTCTGTCGATATCTTTCCCCATTTTCAAATTGTCAATAATTATCGATGTTGGTAGATAGTTTTTTAAAACATGCTTCGATAAATATTAGAGCTAGATTCTCTAGACTTGTATGTAAAATCTCGTATGGTCCACTCAGATAAATAATTTATTTTTTATTGCCATTTCATCTAAATTGTAAAACAAATAAGGATCCCAACGATGATAACTGGCGCAAAACGGACTAGCTTTTTCTTCTTTTATAGATATCTACATACATATATGTAAGAGTCGCCTTCCCAAAAAAAGACACACCCGATTCCTTCTTGATATAGTCAAGGCTTGTTTTGCATGGCTGCTATGAAGCTTTGCATAGATACCCCACTATAAGTATAAATGCACGCTTTGTCGAGGTTTTGGAATATTTCACTCGCGGTAGCGAAAAATTTGTGGAAAGCGGGCTAGCATCTTATCGCCTTCAAAGTCACTTGATTTTCAAAAATAATTGCAATCTACTCACAAAGGAGCTTTTTGTTTTCTTATAAGTTATACAAAATGGACATGCCAGAAGCACATCTGCGGGAAGTATCTTATTTCAAAACCAGATACAGTTGGGTAATCTCACGCACACACACACACACACACACACACGTACACCCACACACACCGGCACACAAACAAAGCAAATACACAGAAACAACAGGAAAGTTTTACTTGCGGACAACGTGGAACACGAAAAAAAAAAAAAACAAACCAAAAAAAAAAAAAAAGAAAAAAACAAAACTCATCAGCAAAAATGGAGGTCGCCACGGGTGCAGTAAACGTGGCTAATGAATGCTTTTGGCCCCAGCGCTGATGGCAGCTCTGTGTTTAATTTAATAACACACGCACACAACAGCCCCAGACACACACACACACACACACACACACACACACAACCAACACACACACATAAACACAAACTCACTCAGTCAACATATGCTCATCGTTTGTCTCTGTCTGTGTGCGTTTATAAGTATATTGAACAAATAAATTTCGAAATGTTGACAACATTTTGCTGTTTGTTCATAAACGAGGCCATCGTCACCTGTGGGAGCAGCACACGTGCCCACCACATGCACACGCCCAACCACAGAACACATCCCGGCCGAGCTGTAGCCCACATCGGAGTCCGTGTTCTCGTTCAGGTTCACGTCAAACAACGCCCGGCAATAAAAACTTGAAGCCACAGTCGTCAGCCCGAGTATCACCCATGGGGGCTAGACGCATAAAAATAAAAAAAAAAAAAACAAAAAACTTTTATAATAGCCATATATAGTATTACAAGGTACATGGTATTTGGTATATGGTACATGGTATATGGGTACATGAATACATGGTGCATAGTATGCAAGTGCACAGTCGTCCTCCTAGGTACCATGTACTGTAACTGTCATGTTAAATCCGTAAAAGTTTTACGCAATTTGTTCAAAGTTTATGAAATACACTCGCCGCAATAAAAACAAGTCTTCAAATGGAATGGTCAATAAAACAGCAGCTCATATGAAGATCTCACGAGTATCTATTGGAATACTTTAAATATGGAACAATACGGAACAAGTACTTTCATTAAAAAAAGTTGATTTTCTAAAAGTTTAAACTGTTATCATAGCAACTTATTTTTTAAATTGATTTTTTCAAATTATATTGCATATTTTTCGAAGCAGGTCAGAATTATAATATCAATTATATATAGGTACTAGATATATCAATTACTATATAGGTACTAAGTATAGATTTCCTAAATAACTCGAAGACTTATAAATTGCTCCAATTGCTTATAATTCTCAAAGAGTTCATGAAAGCAAAAATCAGAGTTAAGGCTTGCAAATTTAGAACTTAGGCTGAAACTGTTGAGGAAAACAAATTGAGATCTTTTTACTAATTCAAATAATAAAGTTTTTATGTTCTCCAGCGCTATTTGAGCATGTGAATGATTATTTAATAGCTGTATATTTATTATTAGGCAATTTTTGGCATTTATATGGCATAGTTATGTGCAAGTATTTATATAGCTGCTCGTTCAACTGTATCAAACTTTATGGAGCATATAAAATCGTGAGCTTCCAATCAATTGCAAAGTCATTTATTACAAATTTTAGGTGCACTTCTAATGTTAATAAAAATTAAGCCCTCCCCCCAAACAACAAAAAAAAAGAAAACGTCTTATCGACTAAGGCCAAGCCCAGTTAACAGACGCGCTTCGTTGCGCCCACCAGAAAATGCCACGGCCCTTATAGAGGGGGGCACGCTCAAGAAAAAAGCCAATCATTGCAGCCCCTAGTTTCAGCTCTAGGAGCTTGGGAGCTGCTGTTGCTGCTGCTGCTGCTACTGCTTCGACCGCCTTTGGGAGTAGGTAATGTCGCTTCATATTTCAACGTCACTCGCATCGTCATCATTTTTCTGTGGCCAACACAGGGTGAGGGTGAGGGCGAGGGCGAGGACAGGGGCAATGGCGATGACATCAACAGTTCTGCATAAATTTGCACCCGATAAAAATTTCAAATGTTTTCATCAAATCATTTTTCGGTGCGCAACAGCCGCCAGTCGAGTCGCCACTCAGGACTCAAGACTCGAGTATTCATCATCCATCATTAATGGTGCGCCTGCCAGTGAAGGAGTTGAGACAGGCTCTTAGACCGCGCCCCCAACCCCTCGAAGGCAATTGTAGATGTGGGCGTGGCTGGCTGTCTGGTTGACGGAATGACATTACTTTTTAATGACTTTGACTTTATGCAGCAAATGCGTTGCCTTCGTCCTACCTTCAGTTTTTGTTGCCGTTTTATGTCGCAATTCGAGAACTTTTTAGCACTTTTTTATTTCCACTTTGTTTTTCTCATTTTTCTCCTTTTTTCAGACTATCTGATTGAAATTTGTGTTTTATTTTGTTTTCGATTGATTTAACTCAGTATTTGCCGTTTCAATTAAAGTGGTACACAAATTTTTTGCATATTCGAGCGCCAAGAGTTGTGTGTTGTGCGGTTGGGTTGGGCGTTGTTGGGGGGGGGTTGTTGCCTTCGGCTGATGGCTGCCAATATGCGTATCATATTTTCACAGCGAGATATTTTCCGCTCATAAAGGAAAATTGACTGCGAAAATTGTTTTACTGCAGCTACTGGAGCTGTCTCAGTTCGCAGAAGCGTTCTCTCTGTGTGTTGTTGTGGTTGTGTCTCTCTGTTTGCCTGTATGTGTTTGTGTGTGGTGTTGTAATTTGTTTGCCCCTTTTTTCGCGTATGCATTTTTACGTTTTTATGCGTTATTTTGCATGCATCAGCACGTTATTAAATTCCACTGTGCCAAGCCGCAAACAAAAAGCCAGCGAAACTCCGTAGATTGCCGGCGACTCGTCAACACGCATCCGCCCCGTAGCCCAGCCAAATCCATCTCCCCACCAAAACCCTTGTCCTTTTAACACCCGTCCATTGTTCGCATCCAGCAAGCGTCTTATTTAACCCACAGCCCACGGATAAAAACCAAACGTAAAATCATACATACGCCCCTCCACCCAGACAAGCATGGCAAATTCGGAACATTGTTCCATGTTAAGCTTCAGCTCCCTCTAGGTCTCTTCAAACATTTTTTTATATTTCATATTAACACTTAGCTTCAATATTATTACAGTTTTAAATCGAGTACTATCTATATAATTAGCATATGAATTGGTTTCTATATACAACGATTTTAAAAAACATCATACATAATCGAAGCTTACTTTACCAATTACGTATATATATGGATGTATATACCATATTCATTTGCTTTTATTCCAATTTAATGCAGCTAATATACATTTACTCTGTTAGGTTAACAGTCTGTTAAAACAACAGTCCGCCATCTATTGACAACAGAGGCAAAGTGAACTGTTATACCGTTAACCGTTAGCACAGTTTTAAAGATAACCGTTAGCGGGGAAGCTGAAAATGTTGATTTAACATTTATTTTTGAGCTACATTCGATACATATATTTCCATCTCTTTTTAATAACGCATTTTAAGATGAGAGATTTAATTTCAATTAATAAATATAAAATAAAATTATTAATTCTGGGTAAACATTTAAAAAATAAACACATTGGTACAATTTATATTTCGAAACTTAAGAATGGTTTTTGTAACCTGGTAAAAAAATGTTTCACTGCTGGTTGCAATTGCATTTTTTTTTTTTTGTAAACTTTGTATTGCACTTTTGAAATAAGGCAAGCAAAACCAATTTTTAGACAGAACTACTTTTAGTTTAATCAGTTATACTTCAATTTTAATTTAATATGAAAATTATGTTTTTTATGCTTTAATTATTTTTTTATAAAAACAAGTTGAATAAAATTTATCATGAGATTGCATCTTTCATCGGTTGCGTAAACAGTTTGAAGAAAAAACATTTACAAGCTCTTTTTTTTGCTACATTTTCGCATTAAATCATTGACTTTAAATGGAAGCTCACCTTTAAACTTAGTCAGCAAATTTGCAATAAATACAAATTTCACTCAACCTCGATATAAACACATGCAGTGCAATTCATCATTCGCCCACACCTGAAAGGCTGGTGAAAGGAGTTGAGCTGTGGGGAGGGGAGCTGAGAGGTTTTTGTACGGAATCGACAAACGTCCCATTAACAGAATTCAATGCACAAAAACTCCCGAGCTGGCTGCTTGGCGTTTTGAAGCCAAAAAGCGAATGTCAACACTATCAATCATTGCTTTGACAGTTTGAGTGCTTGTTTTAGTATTTGTGCTTTTGATTATGTGACGTGCACACACACACACACACACACGCGCACACACACACACACACACACACACAGTCATGCGCGCATACAGGCCAAACGCATACATACATATTTGCGAATGCGGGGCGCATCAATTGATACACTTACAACAAATTGTTTGTACTGAAACACGTGGGCGGCATTCGTTTGGCGGGGGGGGGAGGGTGTCGTCGTCAGTAGAGGGTGGAATGGGTGACTGGATGGCAAGCGTTTGATTGATGGAGCCCCGACCTGAGCTATTTTAAATGAACAAATTGAATATGTGCACACATATGTGTGAATGATTATTGAAATTTAAGAAGGCACCCAGCAAAAAAAAAGCTGAAATGTGCATATACAAGAAGAAAAGGAAGCGAAAGGGTCCGATTATCCATCAGAGTTATGTTTGCAGATTGTGTTTTAATATATATCATGATATTCCAAGAGCGGAACCAATGATTTTAGCTTATGCAAATCGAAGAACTGCTTTTATTGTGTTTGCAAATTTGTATTCATAAAACTTACTCTGTGTATCTAAATGTGTGCCAAGAAATCTGTTAAATTTTTAAAACAAATATTTATTGTTTTCCAAGGAAACAAGTAATGTTTAAAACCTTTATCAATAGAATAGAAAGAATATAACTATTTTTACTATATATCAAAGTATTGCTGTAGCCTTGCAGTAAAATTTATTAACAATAACTAAAACAAAATCTTAGATCAAAAGGAAAAACAAAAACAATTTGATTAAACACAATGGAAACAAAAACTAAACGTAAACAATAAACAATCTGGAGAGACTACTCGTGGTGGGCAGCTCGGTCGAATTGGAGCTTGAACGGATTTGGTCGGGCTCGGAATGTGGCCAATTGGCGCTGCTTTTTGAACTCCTCGTGCTCGAGACGTTTGCGCTGCTCCGCCTGCTCCCGGCGTCGGGTTTCCTGCATCAGATGCGACTTTGAATTGAATATCTTGCGCTGCTCAGCACGCAGCTCCGTGGAGAGGCGGAAGGGTTTGACCTCCAGCTGAAACTGCGAGGATTGACCATTGGCTGGCTTCAGTGGGGCCGCATTGAACTTGGGCACCGGCTTTGTCTTGGGGCGCAGCTTCTGCTGCTGCAGCCGCTCCTGCTCGCGTTCCTGCAGCAGCTGCTCGACCTTCTGGCGTCGCTTTAGCAGCATGTTACGTGACGTTTTCAGGACATTCGGTGTGACCGCACAGGTTATGTGATGCACGACCTGCTTGTTGGCCAGCTGCTGATGGACCTGGTCGAAATTGGGCATGGGCCGGCTGCGGAACTGGCGTTGGGCACGCTCCTGCTCGAGCCGCTGGCGTAGCAGCTGCTGTTTCTTGTGTTCATAGATGTCCTTGAAGCGGTAGGCCTGCGGCGCGGGATCTTGCTGCGTAACTGCGCCCGTTGGCACCTCCTTCTGCCAGTCGGAATCAACGGTCTTCAGCAGATTCTCGAGTACAGCCACTTGCTTCTGGGCATTGTCGTATACAATGCTCTGGCGACGTTGCAGCTGCTCGAGATCCTGTTCCAATTGCTGTTGCTTCAGCGTCTTCTCGTCATCATCATTCAACTTCTCCTTGGACTCGGCCATATGCTGCTGTTTAACCTGCGGCTGCAAATTCATTTGACCGAAAAGATTTTCGGTGTCCTCCACCTCAAACTGGCTGCAGTTGTACTCAAATTTTAGCTCCGACATTTTATAAATGTACTTGTTTCTGGCAAGATCTTATAACTTTTATAAATGTCTAATGTTGTTGCCCAATCCCCTTTTGCTACTCTCATTAACAGCCTACTCTAAGCCCCGAGCAGCTGCTCATGAAATGTGTGTTTCGAGCATTTGTGAAAATTTCATTTGAATTATTATTGCAGACACTGCTTATGCCTCTATATGGATAATGTATAAAGTCTTGACTGCCACTTGGGCATGCCCATCAGTCGACATCCTTGAGTTCCTGCTGCTCCGCCCCGCACCCCTGCCTCTCCTTCTGTCACACTGCTCCTGCAATTGCATACATCGCATTTGCTTGGCGCTGTCTGTTTCCTGCCTGTCCAACTGTCTGTCCCTGTCAGTCCGCATGGACTGACGTAACGTAACGTCTATGTGGTGTCAATTTGATTGCAAAGGTAATTCAAATAATCTCATCATACACAATCTAGCTGTCTATTCACCTGCCAGCCCACTTACACACACACACACACCTATAAATATATGTATATTTCCGGGCACAGTCAGACAATTTCTGAACGAGCAGCGAAAATATATAAATTTTGCATTTCAACTGCTGATTAAATTTTGATTTTAAAGCTGTTCTAAATGCGAATTACATAAAGCTAAAAATTGCTGCTAAATTTGAACTGATTTTAACAATTTTTAAATATTTGCAACAATATATTTCTGTTTAATAAGCACTAAAAACTGAATTATAATATCAGATAGATTACAGCTGTTTACTGGCCATAATTAGATGTAATTATTACTAACTCTAATTAGCACAATGAGTGGAAGAATCTTATGTGTAATTATAGCTTTAGGGATACTTTTCAAAACAATTGGAATATTACTGAAGCGATTCCTTTTTCCTGTCTTAAGCCGTGTGTAATTATTTGTATATATTTAAAATTGTTAGACGCAAAGAGTTATATATATTTGTAGTCCTCTGTCATTGTCAAGATTAAATGAAATAATAGCTTAGCTTAATTTGTATGTTTGACTGCAATTAGTTGAGAGGTAATTTGACTACAGAATTGTCATAGCCGAAGGCTATAGAAGTAAATGCAATATATGACATAAATTAAAGCTCCGACACTTTAATGAAATAAAAAATTGATAAAATAAATTAAAATGATGATAGAATAGTAAAAAATTGATATTAATAAGTAATTATGATGACAAAAATAATAATATTAATAATGTAACTTCGTACCTGAGCGTTAATCACAATGATAGATCATTAAGAGCTTTTATCTTTAATCTCTGATAGCAAAGTGCAGAAATTAGTTAATCTTACACATCTGATGATTAAGCAAAAGGCACAACGTCAAAGAGTACGCAGGTGGCACATGCCACAAGTTGCCAGCAAATCAAACCGACAAATTACGCACACAGCTGC